ACTACTACTACTACTACTACAACTACAACTGCGACAACTCTGCTACTGCTACTGCTACTGCTACTGCTACTGCTACTGCTACTACTACTGCTACTGCTACTGCTACTGCTACTGCTACGGCTACGGCTACCGCTACCTCTACCACTACCACTACCACTACCACTACCACTACTACGAATACGACTACGACTACGACTACGACTACGACTGCGACTACGACTACGACTACGACGACGACGACGACGACGACGACGACGACTACTACGACTACTACTCCTCCGGCTGCTGCTGCTGCTGCTGCTGCTGCTGCTGCTGCTGCTGCTTCTGCTGCTGCTGCTACTGCTACTCCTGCTCCAGCTCCCCTGCTCCTGCTCCTTTTCCTCCTGCTACTATGGATATTGGTATGCCTACGCTTCTTCTTCAGTAGATTAGACTATGTTTAAGCTTCCGCTTTTCTCAACTCAGATCCTGCTATGATCTTGTCAAGCCCATCGGCATTGACAATCAGGCGAGCATGAAGCTTCGTCTTATCGAAGCTGTGCACCATCAGCCTGCTCTGCTGGACCATGGCCTGCGCATTCTCGATTCTGATATTCAACGTTCTTGCCTCAAACTCAACTCGTGCAAAGGTCTGCACTCAGTCTTCTTCCCTTGGCAGCGCTCCTCGCCCCCTTCGCCACGCCGGCCCAACGACCAGATGCCCTTCAGCCTCTCCTTCGCCTTATCGGACATCCAGATGGGAGTTTCAGAAAATTAGGGTACCTTATTTGGGGGTCCTTATAATAGGGATCCTATTATTTAGGGTACTATATTAGGGCCCCCTATTTTCGGAACTCCCCAGATGCAATCACCATCGTAACAATATTGAAGGAAACTACAGGTGGGGAGTTTAGGGTATATAGGGCTTCTATCAGGCTTCCATAAGGTATATAGACCTTCTATCAAGCTCCTATAATGGTAACTACCCACTTGAAAATGTCCTAGAACAATAGGCCTAAACCATCCTAAACCCTAAACCCTTACTTGTCGCTATGGCTGTGTATCTAGACACAGCCTGAGGACTGGAGAAAACCCCGGGGTTTCTACTTGGGTTTCGACCCTTAAACCCTAAACCCCTCAAGCCTCAACCCCTTAAACCCTAAACCGTAAATTAAACCCTAAACCCTAATCCCTAAACCCAAGCCCCTCTCTCTGCACGGGCCAAAAGAGCAGCCAGTGGCGCAAAGTAGGCTTTGCTTCTAGACTTCAGGGATTTAGGGCCGAGGATGTAGGGTTTAGGAGTTTGCCTGCTGCGCCGCGATCCAGTTGCAAGCAGAATAGGTCTGCCCGAGGTCCTTCGCGCTCGGGCTGCAGGTGTCAGTTCAGGGTCTAGGGTTTCGGGTTTAGGATTAATCAAGGATTTATCGGGGGTGCCGCAAGGTTGTGGTTGTTCGAAAACAAGGCTTAGGCTCACCCTAGGGGTTGGATGTCGGAGGTCTTTCTCTCATGCCTACTTTGGGCCACTTACTTTGCGCTACTTACAGCTTCCTAAACCCTAAACCCAGGGTTCTCCGCGGCATGGGGTTACTGAGCATTTGAGCTTCGTTGTCAGCTTGCGGCACGCATGTCGGGTTCACCGCGGATGACGAGGCTGCCTTGTCTACTTGTCTAAGGAAAAGAATAATGTTTAGGGGTTAGGGGTTTAGGG